CAAGGCACTCTACCAGTGATGTAACTTCCTCCCACTAGGCCCCACCTCCTACAGGTTCCAACACCTCCCAGTAGCACAGGCTGGGGGCCAAGCCTTTAGTATATGGGCCTTTGGGAGATATTCAAGGTCCAAAGCACAACTAGAGGATAAAATGAATTTATACCTATAAAATGTTGAGCTTGATGCACTAACTAGGCATATGAGAATAACGTATCTCTTTTATCTTCTAGTACTCAGGTGGTACACTGAGATGAACCCATCTACGACTTTGTAGGACTGATATTTCTAAACAGACTATGACCAAGAGCAGGAGGGGCAAACCCTAGACTAAGAACCACCGACCATCCCGTAGGATCACGGGGGGCACCAACAGCAGTGGGAGGGAAGAAAGGTGGGTGAGAAGATAGATTCTAGTGGGATGTGGGAAGTTCCAGTTCCTTAAAGGAGCAGATCATGTTGAATCAACTCCTCTGGTCAACAATTACATATTCTGGACAATATATTGAAAACAAGTACTTCAAAGCACTAGACAAGAACCAAAAGCAGAGATGGGGAAAGGAGACATGGGCACTTCCTGCTGCATGGAGCTGCACAGAAGACTAGAACTGGAACAGGAAGCAGCACTCTTACTGTCTAGGAAGATGAGATATGTTCTGAATTTTCAGGCTGGAAATTGGGGAGAAAGGGGTATCAGAAAAGAGAAAGCTACAGAAGGGGAAGCTCTAATATTAATGCACAAATTCCCCTCAATCCTTAGCTAACTCCAAACTGTACAAATGTGGAGAGGGACTCCGAGGATCACAACAGAAAGCAGTAGTAGTAGGAATTTCCTGGAAAACAGTTTGGCGTTTGAGTCCTGACAAGTTAGAGGAGCTTAGCAGACACTTAAACTTCTGACTTAGTGCCACAAAAGTCATGTCCTACAGTAAGACCAGGACTATGAGAAAAGCCAAAAATAAACCTATCTCAGCAAAGCCTAAAGAGCAAACTCCACAAAATCAAGTAACTTAATTGCCTGTTAGAACAACATTCTTTAGAAGATGTTAAGTCTCTTCAGTATACTACCCGCAATACCCAGTATGCAACAGAACTATAGGCATGTGAAGAAACAGGAAAATGTGATCCACGGTCAAGAGAGAAAAAGTCAACAAAGTCAGAGCTACTCCTGACCCAGATGTTAAAATTAGTACACAAAATACTTTAAAATGCCTATTATAAATACGCACAGGATTTTCAGGAAATGAAGCGCAGAATGAATGACTGGATAGGAACTCCAGAAGAGAAATGGGACCTATAAAAATGATCTAAGTGGAAATTCTAGAGCCCAAAATACAGATGAAATAGGTGGCCCATTATGTACTGAGGCAAAAAGAATTAGTAAAGTTGAAGGCAGGTAATATAAATGATCCAAATTGAAGCATAAGAGAAGAAAAGGTACGAATAAATGAGTGAAAAGTGGAACTTCTACCTAGAATGTACCATTAAACTCAATACAAAGTAAAAAAAAAATTTTTTTAAAAAGGTGGAACTTCAATGACCTATGTGACGACACATGTAGACAGAGTTCAAGACGAGGAAAGGGAGAATTGAGTGTAAAAAATATTTGAATGATTAAAATAATAGCCCCCAATTTCCTCTATAGCAGCGGTGGTAAACCTGTGGCATGCCTGCTACTTGTTTTTTGTTTAAGACAAAAAATGCTAAAGTATGAGTCATTTTTTTTCTAAACTAAAAACCTCAGGATTCAGGGTTTTTGCAGTGTTGGCACTTGGTGATAAGTAAGTGAGTTGTACATTGCAGTCTGGGCACTTGTCTCTAAAAGGTTTGCCATCACTACCCTACAGCCTCAAATCAGTGGAAAAAAACCTCAAACGTACTGGTCCAAGTGACTCAGAATATCATACTTAATCACATCGTAAGGAAGCTGCCAAAGATCAAAGATAATAAAACCTTGAGAAAAAAAAAAAAAGCCAGAGGAGAGACTCATTATAGACAAAAGAAACAACAACAAGGAAGGCAGCTGACTTCTCATCTGAAGCAATGTTGGGCAGAAGACAATGGAAAGACATTTTAAAAGTTTTAGAAACAGGAGATGTCAATTTGGAATATGTAAACCTTTAAATGTCAGTAGGACTCTGAGGTTGCAAGACTAGGCAAAGTGGTCCCTCCCAAGCACATCTTGCAAATCATAGTACGCACATATCCCCCACCCCCAACATATACTCCTGCCACGTACCTAGTATCTCAGCAGAATGTCCCAACATTTTCAAAAGAAAAAGTTCACTGTCAGGTGATAAAACATGAAAATCTTCTACACAAATTGTAGTTCATCCATTAAGATTCTCTGTATTTTGTTAACTATGTAAACAGTACACATTTTTCATCCTGAGAAAAACTGAAGATGAAAAAACTTTCTTTTTCTTCTAATGCTTTAGTCACACAGTGCTTCTGTCCCACAGCACGTGGAAATGTGAGATGGAGCTCCTGGAAGAGGTGTGTGTAGGGGTTCTGAGCTCCGGGAGCCATCACCTTAGAAGTTGGAGGGAGACGCTCTGGGTGAGCAGGGTACAGGAGCAGTAGCATACCTTCCCCGAGTAATGGTGGACACCCAAGGCCAGGCTTGGGGCACATTATCTTATTCAATCCTCACACCTGCCCTTAGCAACAAAGAATCATCATTTCTTTTACAAATGTGGCACAAAGCTTCAAAGAGAAAGTTGTGTAAGATTAGTGACAGGGCTGGGATCTGCACCAAGATCTGCTGGATACTGAGCACGGCTCTTCATCCTCCCCAGCCAGTCAGCCGTTAGTTCTCTTCTCTGCACTGGGCCACACAACAGGATCATCCCATGTGGCCTACACAGGCCCCTGCTCTCAGGGTCCTCGGAGCTCAAAGAAGGAAGGAATAAAACTTATTTCACCTAACAGAAGTTGGATTACACACTAACCAGTGTGTTACACTAATGTGTCATATCTCATTCAACTTTCACAACAGCCCTGTGAGGTAGACATTTGTATCACCCCCATCTTACAGTTGAGGAAGGTGAGGCTTGGAGGTAAATGAATGGCAGAACTAGAGTTTGATTCCAGAGCTGACTACCGCTCCTCAGCAGGGCATGTCACTGCTGTGAGCCACCAGAGGGACAGTGAGCTGTGGGAATATGGGTGAGTCCCTAGTGTTCCTTCCCTATTTGCTGGGACCTAGGAAATTAGAAACCAAGGGGCTCGAGCTGTACCTGGTCCCAGGACTTACTCTAGACCCAGGGCTGCTGCAGAATCCAGTCACCTCTTTTGGCAGGATTGCTGTGACTGTGACCGGCTCCAAATGCCTCGTCTGTGACTCCCGCCAGGCCAGTCTCCATTCAACAACCAAAATAAGAGCAGGTCTCCATACTATGTTGCTCAAAACCTTTCAGTGGCTCTTTGGGTTTAAGTCCCACTTTTCCAACAGGGCTTCATCATCTCTCCTTGGCTCAAATGGCTCCTCTTTCCTATTTTTCCTAAAATGCTCCTTACACGTGCACTGGCCTCAGGGTCTGCTTCAGTTACTGCTGCTGTGTAACAAGTCACCACTCAAACACAACAGCCTAGAGCAAACATTTCGTTAAGCTCTTGGCTTCTGGGAGTGAGGAGTTTGGACAAGAAAGAGCGGAATGGCTTATCGCTGCTCCCTGACCCCTGGGGCCCCATCAGGGGGGCTACTGCTGAGAGCAAAGCAGCAGTCTTCAACCAGTATTTCCTACTTAGTAGTTCAAGCAGAGGGAGGAATCTATGCCCTGGGGGTACCTCTGGGGCTTGCTCCCCCCTGATCTACCCCTAACCTGGTCGGATAGGCGATGAGTCTGGAGGATGCTTTTTTTGGTGGTATCTGACACCATCTTCTCCTTTCCTGCCCTGATCCTATGAAATGCTGGGCTCCTTCTAACAAGGCAGACTCTGTGCTGAGAACTCCAAAGGGTCTTCTAGGGCACCTAGAAGAGAACCCTAATCCCTGCTGATGAGACCTCAAAGGCTGAGCAGGGTCACACAGCAAAGGATTGGACCATGAGATCCCAGCCTGCGCAACCAGCAGCATCTTTGATTCTATGTAAACCTTCCCTGGGTGATCTCAGGGACACCCTCAGGGCACCCTGTGAGGTAGCTCTCTGGAGGTAAAGGGCTCACTGCTGCAAGAGCCTGATAGGTGACTTGGGGAGAAAGTAACAGCTGTTCTCCGGGGCAACACCCCGTTCCCCCAGCCGCTGGTCCTGAGCCACCGGCTTGTGCCAGTGCCCTGGCTTCCATGCGCTCAGCCGTGGGCGCCCTTCCCGAGGTTTGGAGAGGAAAGTGAGGGAGCTGACAAGACAGAGGCTATGGCGCAGAGCTGTGGCTGAAGTAGACGGCTCAGCGGGGCAGGGCACAGCAGGAAGCAGTCCAGAGCCCCGCTGTGCTGCAAGCACAGCTGCAGCGGATCTAAACCCATTATCCGAGGCAAAAGGATGCACTCTGCCTCCGCAGGGCGCCCTGGAGCTGCCCAGGCTTTGGGGAGCAGGCGAGCCAGGGAGTGGAGCTGGCCAGGCTGCCTGTGCCAAGGAAGGAGTAAAAAAAAGCACTATAATATATGTAAATATTTCCTCCATTTCCAGGCAAAGTGAAGAAACAAACATATACAAGATTATTCTTCCATAGTTATCCTAGCATTGGATAAGACTATGCTATGTGCTTTAAGATCATTTTAGTAAACAAGAATTATATGAGAGGTTTATGTGAGGGGGGCTAGATGAGGGGTTCTGTGACATCTACTGGCTACAAGATGCTGCATGGCGAAGGCTTGAGGGATGCTCAAGCCACATAATGGTGATATAACAGGAGAGCTGGTTCATCTAGGTCTGTCACTGTTAGAAATGGAAAAATGAGCATCATCTTCCTTGCTGTCCTAGAAGTAGATTTGAGATGCTGGGCCGGGCCAGCTGGGGCCGGAGTTAGTGTGACATCACTGGGCGGGCCCGCCCGCCCCTGTCTGGGGCTGAGGGGAGGCCCGGAGCCTTTCTGGGGCCTGGGGGATCCTCTTGCACTGGTGGGTGGAGAAAAGTGCCTGCAGCCAACCAGGGTCAGGCTGTGCTCACAGTTTCCTCTGGCGGCATGTAAAGGCTCCACAAAGGAGTTGGGAGTTCAAATGAGGCTGCTGCAGTCGGCCTGAGGATGGATCCCGAGCCCTGAGTGGTGCTGCCTGAGCCCCCGACCTGCAGAGCCTGGCACTGAGGCGGCTGCCCGCCCTGCTGTGAGCAAAAGCAGGTTGCGATCAGCCCAGCAGCACCCAGGCAGGCCAGCCGCCACCTCGTCCCGCACAGCAGGCTACAGTCAGCCGGCAGAGACCCGTGAGGCAGTGCTGTTGGGCAGCCAGGACGGCCTGTGACTCGGGTCTCCTCCTGGAGCCCATGGACAGGCTGCCCTGCTGACGGCCACCGTGCAGCATGTGAGGATCCGCCCTGGGAGCCAAGCAGGAGGAGGAGGTAAGGAGCCAGCTCGCAGCTCTGTGGCAAAAGTGGCAGGGACAGGCACTGCAGCCGGCCAGGGGCTGGGGGTTCAGCCACCTCGACCCCTCCAGCTGTTGGGGGTGTGTGCAGCTGACCCACAGGAGTCACTCCTGCTTCCATCTGGAGCCAAACAAGGATGTGCCGGCAGCACTGTGGAAACCTGGGCAGGGGCAGGATGAGTGCAGAATCGTGGGTTAGGAAGTTGAGGACTTCATCAGTGAGGCCCAGACAAAGCCTTTGGGGTGAAGGCAGCTGCTCCTGGGTGCGAGGAACAGCAGCAGCCAGGGTATGCGAGCGTGGAGGTGTGTGCTTTGAGGGGTGGCGGGCTGAATGTTGGGGACGCAGTGACAGGGCAGCCGAGAGCTTGGGAAGTATATTTAGGCTTTGGGCTCCTGGGCACCCAGCCTGCAGAACACACCAAGGCAGAAGCAAAAGCACATGCAGTCCTGAGGCAGCCGGGGCCCTGGAGCTCCCCGGGTCCCGGAAGCCTTTGCTCATATCCCTCCAGCTGGTGAGAGAGGAGCCGAGGCTTTTGCCTGCAGTACCTGGGATGTGTCAGCTCCAAGTTTCTGCCACTGTGCCTGGGGGAAAGTGCTGTCCTGGCTCTCCTTTCAGACCCACGGTGCCTGACCCCTCCTAGCACTGGATGGCCCCTGGCTTCCTTGGCAGCCCAGCAAGGGGATGGTGCAGGCACCACATACCGAGTCCCTTGAAAGTGCTCATGGTTAGATAACATTTCCAAACAGAAATTCCTCCCTGATCCTTCCCTCTGCTTCTGTGATATGTGTGTCACGGGTCAGCTATTGCCTCTGTGTGGGATTATGAGAGCTCCCAGAGGCCAGATCGGTTACTCAGAAAAGGATCTCTTTTCACCAGGGCTCTGAGGAAAGTTGAGAATGCCACTTCCCAAGCCGGGCAACCGCTCCTCACATGGATTTTTCTAAGTGTAGGCAGAATAGGGTAGAACCCGTGAGCAAGCTTCAGGTCTGGGCTCTTCTACGAACTAGCCAAACGGCTCGGCAGAACAGTTAGCCTTGCTAAAGCCCAGTTTCCTGATACAAGAAATGGGACAGGGATAGTGACATGTCAGTGACAGCTGATCCAGGTGCTTTACCAACTCAGACTGCTCACAACCATCCTATACTACGGATGCTGTTATCACCCCCATCTCACAGGTGAGGAAGCTGAGGTAGCAGCGAAATGCCATGCCCAAGGCTGTGTGGCTCGTCCGTGCTCAGCCAGGGCTTGAGCTCAATGGTGTGGAGCTGGGTCTGCCCTGAGCCTTACACTACTGCTCTCTAGGAGGAAGACATGTGACCTGAGTCAGCACAGTGTCCGGTGTGCTGCAAACCCTTCGAAAACATTAGTCACCCGATTTGGGGAGCCATAACAATCAGAATCACACAGAGGGGGGCACAGGGATCCAAATTCTTTCCCCTGTTCTACACACACAGAATGCTGCTACAGTTTTCAGAAAAATTCCAGAAGGCAGGGCCAATGCGGCTACCCCCACTACCCACCGAGGAACCTTCCAGGAGCCCGAAGGGGCTTTATGTCCAGAGCAGGAGTGTGGGGCTGTATGGTGTGTCTGAGACCCTGGGGTCCACATTGAGGAAAAGTATAGACACATGGACCAAAGTTCCCACACCAACCTCACAGGCAGAGCACCCGACCATCCTACCACCCAGCAGGCACTGCTGTCTACCTGTTGGCATCCTCCAGAGTTACACAGGATGAGAACATGGAACTTCTCTGGCCTACGGCAGGACCAACGGCCAGGCCTGTCCTGAAGTTGCAGAGGGGGTGGTAAGAAGGTGCCACCGCCAGGCCTGGCCACGGTGGCGGATATTGCTGTGCACGGCACTGGTGGACCTGAACCCAGGACAGGGTCTTCTGGCCAGTGGCTGCAGGGTCCCAGGGGCTCTCTGAACTTACAGGCATTTTGCAAGCTGCTGTGAAATATGTGCTTTTCTGGCCCAGGCCTCTGGGGCTGTTGGAGCCATGGGTTTCCCTGTCGTGGCCTGGAGTATGATGGCTCGCCCCGTCTTCTCTGGCCCAGAGGCTCTGACAGACTTCGCGGGCCTCTCTAACAAAAGACTGCTGCTCAGTAAAGGCAGTCGGGGTGGAAGAGACTCAGAAGCGTAATACATATATCCAAGAGGGCACCGCCAGGACTGTTGCAAGTTTGTAGGCAGAGCAAGGATCCCACAGTGACTTATAAAGTACCCACGAGGCTGAAACCTGCACTTGATCTCATTTCACCCTTACCACGACCCCATTTTACACACGAGAAAACAAAGGCACAGAGAAGTTAACTCGCTCAAAGTTTAAGTGACTATACAGGACTAGAACCCAGGACTCAGCCTGTCTGGCTCCAAACCCGGCCTCTGCCAGCTCACTCCACGGCCTTGTTCGTGGTGCCTCAACTTCTCTGAGCCTGCTGCCATCACTGGGTCCTTGCCCTACGTCCCAGCAGTGCTGCACTGCCCCCTGCAAGAGAGCCATGTGCTCACGGGTTTTGGGGCAGAGCTTGCTGTCCATGGACTCCCACTTCTGAGACAGAAGAGGCCCAACTGTTTATCTCTTACAAATGAGCCCTGGAAGCCATATAGCCTGGACACAAAGCGACACTCGCCCTGACATCAGAGATCTGGCAGTAGCACGCAGGGGCAGGGCCTCAGGGAAACGTTTGTCTATGTCACCGAGGCACGACTTGCGCCTTTTCAACATTCCTGCTCGGAGACTCCTGTAGGGCTGTAGGAGTGGAGCTCACTGGGCCACCCTGGAGCAGCTCCTGAGACCGCACTGGTAGCTACAACAGAACAGACAGCAGCCCTGCCCAGAGCAGGTACCTTCGACCTCTGGCCACTCTGAATCACGGCCCACTTAATCTGGAATGTTCTCAACTGACAACCCACAGAGAGGGGTGGAGCTCCGCTGTGTAGAGACCGCAGCCTAAGCAGGATGAGGCAGGCAGATGTTAACACAAACACACCACAGTATGAGGCCTGTGGAGCTGAGAGGGTCCTCAAGACAGTTAGTGGAAACTGAGGCCTGGGGTACAGTACTTCTCCCACAGTCCCCCAGTGGCCAAGAGGCAAGGATTCAAATCCAGACCCATGCTTGCTCACTCCACCCACTCCAGCCTGCATAACTGTGAGACAGAAGACTCAAGAAAAAGGCAATACACTGGATAGCAGATCCTTTGTGTGACTTTTATAAAACACCCCAAATAGAAGGGTTATTCAGCCACAGACAGCCTGGAGTTTGTGGTCATATGCAGGTTGCATCAGAAACCTCATTTGGGGGCAGTTTCTATGACAAAACTATATTCCCCCACAGGGACTGAGTCTTATGACTGATTTAATAACAGCTTGGGGTGGGGATTAAGATGTTACAATGTCCTCTTCCCCGTACACATCAACTGTGAGACACATTCTGATCACAGGAATGTTAAAATGTTGGGTGGGAGAGCCAGGCCTCTGACAATCAAGCTATTGTGTCAGTTCTGTTCCCTGGTGAAATGAGCCTGCCTGTCTTGGGGCCAGCAGTCCCAGAGCATCAGTCCCCTGTGCTGCCTAGTCCTCAGGCTCATGGGTGAAGACTGCTTTGAAAAAGCCCAGGGTAAATTCTGTTCTCATGTCCCAGATGCCCAAAGTCCTGCGTGAGGAGGTCTCATCCCAACCTTTTACCAGGGAAGGCTGTGTGTGCCTCCTCCATCGCCAAACCTCTAAACCTACCCCAGCCAGGCAGAAAAGGGGTATGTGGGATGGATGAGACCCTGGAGTGATGAAGCAACTTGGAAACCTTGGAAGCCAGGCTTCCATAATTAGCCTGTCTGTTATGGTCTGTATCTAGATGTCGCCCCAAAACCTCACGCCGTCATAGGTGGAGCTCTTTGGAGGTAGCTGGACCTAGAGTTTGCGATGCTGGGATTAAGGGTGCCCCACCTGATTAGAGTTTAAGGGATGGAAAGAGGGATGTTGTGGTCGCTGCTTGTCATTTGCTGCTTGCTGCCTTGGTGCCTTCTGCCTTCTCTGCCTGCCATCAACTGTTCTCCCTGCCATGTGCACTCTGCCTTGGAGCCAGCCAACTATGGACTGAAATCTCTACAGACTGTGCTACAATAAACCTTTCCTCCTCTAACTTTGGGTGTCGGCTATTTTGTCTCTGCAACGAGAAAGTAACTAAGACACTGTCCCACCAGGGAACGTGCCAGCCCCTTCTGCACTGTCCAACAGTCTCTTCTGGGGCACCCTCCCTCCTCTGTCACCCCCTTCCTCCTACCAATCCCCAACCTGGCTAGATTAGAACCCCTGAGCCATCCTATCCGGATATCATTATGATGAGTGCCTGGTACTGTGGGCCCCTGGAGGATGGGGGTTGCCTCCTTTCTTTTCTTTTTCCTGCTCTATCTCTACCCCGCTGACCCCCTTCCCCATGACTAGCCAGGGGAAATGCTCAGGAAACGGAATGAACACAATCCTTGAGCTCTCGTTTAGTAGCCCAGGTGCCATCCTGGGTCCTGGGCATTCAAAGGGGAATTTGCTCTCAACCTGCTTGTAATAAACTTACAGTGCAAGGCACATAGAGTCAGTCTGGGCCCTGGGTGCTCCGTTGGAGGCAGCTACAGCCGCTCCTGTAAGCTGGAAGGGAGGGAACCTCACTGCAAATGTGTGACTTCACAGAGAGACCTTGAGAGAGGTCCCCTTAAAAAGGAAGACTTGGGACAGTGGGGAAGGTGCCTGAGGTAGAAAGCACAGCATGGATGCAGTGTGCTGACACGATCCAGGCGTGAGAGTGTGAGAAAGGCGGTCCTAGAAGTGAGCACAGTGCGAACGGCAGTGGGGAGAGCACCCAAAGGTCGGAGCCAGGTAGGACTGTGTGGGTTAGAAGGCTAGCTCGGACGATACGCATCTAGCTCCAAGCACAGCTCTACCATTCGGCAGCTCTGTGCTCCCGGGTAAGCGACTTCA